GTTAGTATTTGAACCAACCTATATATATATATATATATATATATAAGAAAAATGTGTTGAATAATTTCAGCAGATGTATTTTGAGTTGGGTTAATTTTGTAAATAACTTTAATTTGAGGGCTTAACCTTGCTAAAAACCCATGTGTAAGGAAAGAGAATCCATTAAAAGGCGGGAGAGAAAATAGTAATGGTTTGAAGTGGGGGCTCGTCAATTTCCCGTCGATTGGAGGTAAGTTTATATATATTATGTATTGTTTTGACTATGTTTGGGTAGTTTGAGACTTGAGTAAGGTCAAGTTGTTTCTTCATCTTTTAAAAGTATTTTCTATTGTCGTTGTACTTTTTTGTTTTATTTTAATATTGTGCTGACCTCTAAAAAAATGGCATGACAAGTGTATATCTATACTACTTTATAAAGTAAACTTGCCCAAAGTCTTAAAAACACTTTAACATGCATAAGGTACTACCCTTTAATGCAGAAAGTCTTAAAGTCTTAAAAATGTACAACTTTTTTAAGCATAAGGTACTACCTTTTAATGCAGAAACACCTTCACACATCAGGCTACCTCTAAACCCTAAACCACTCCAAACGACTCTCCTCTTCCCAACACAACTCTGCCTAACCTCCGGCTCTCTCTATCGCACGTTCTCCACGATTACACTGCAATCGATTCTCTCTATCGCACGCTGCCGATTCTCCCTAAGCAATGTCTGCTCCCAAGAAATCGATTCCGGCTCCCAAAACATCAATTTCGGCTCCCAAAACGTCGATTGAAGCTCATCGTTCTACTCTCTCATCATCACTTGCATCAGACGGCTATTGAAGCTCTCAAGACACGCCTATTATCTTCCCAAGACGACGATTCATATATGATTATTAAAATCGGTTTGGGTTCTATTTAAAGTACTTTTATCATTCAGTTCGTATCTTCTCAGAATGTTATCTTTCTGATTCTATCGGTCATCTGCTAAATCCATTCAAGGTATTTATTTCTTCCGGTTCATATCCTCTCATACAGTTGTTTAACCCATTTTCATCGCCATCTTCACTTATGTGTGCTAGGGTTAGGGTTCTATTGATTCAGATATGATTATTAAAATAGGTTTGGGTTTGATTTAAGGTACTTTCTTCATTCAGTTCGTATCTTCTCAGCATGTTATCTTTTTGATTCTATCGGTCATCTGCTGAATCCATTCAAGGTATTTCCTTCTTCTGGTTCATATCCTCTCATACGGTTGTTCAACGCATTTTCATCTCCATCTTCACCTATGTGTGCTAGGGTTAGGGTTCTATTTGTCTTTAAAACAGAATAATATGTGTTAGTTTTATTTTCAATGGTTTTGCCTTTTTTTAAGCTTCCATTTGAAGCTCTCAAAATGTCAACTCGACTTTGCCTTTTTTTTTAAGCTTCTATTTGCTACACCAAAATCATGATTGATTTAATATTCTTTTGTGATTTAGGTTCTAAGAGTATAATGTAGAGACGACCATTTCCGTTGTTGCTGATGGAGGTGTCACGTTGGCAGTCGACACCCAGCACTTGAGACTTAATTTTCAAGTGAGCTCCATCCCCCATTAATCCTAAAGTGATTGAATGTTTAGTATGTTGAATGAAATATGATTCTTTTTTGTATTGTTTCATCTAATAACTGTTGGGTGCTTATGGTCCAAATTGGTTCATTTGTCCGTGGAATTTACCCAACACGTACCCATGGGTGTCTTCTGCTTTTCTTCATATAGCAGCCTTATATAATCACCCTAGAATTTTGGCATCAACTTACATCTTCGATATGTTTGTTGGCACAAAGTTAAGGTCTGCCTAAATATTTACCCCACCCCTTACGGATGTGATATAGTGTTTTTGTTTGTGTCTTTTGGTGATATGTTTGTTGTTTCAATTTCAGAATCTACATTTTGAGCATATGCATTTTTCAGGGGACACTRAAAGTGAGAGTAGGTAGATATGTAGATGGGATGGATCTTAATCTATACCATCAGTCTCTGAAGCTCCTAAGACAATTTCAATATGATCAAATCAGCCATTTGGCTCTAATGTAATTGACATATTTACATGTTTTTCTCTAAAGGATGACATATAAATCACTTGCTAAGAGCCAACATGTAAACTATTTACCCAACCATCTTGGTTTGTCTTTCAGGACGAGGGATAGCAGCAAGTCTGCTTCTTTGATATATATGGATCATAATATGGACTTTAAATTGATCTACGTGTTTGTGTGTGTGTGCTTATTTTGTTCCCTGATGGTATATCACATTAAGACGATTCATGATGCACAATAATTTTGATTTTTGGTAAATTTAGTTAAACTTTATCACTTTTTTYTGAGTGTATGTTTTCTCTCCTCTTTAGTTTAAGTAGTTGGTTAACTTTTAAGGTTTTATCCACCTCATAATTTAAATTTTCAATGGAAGATGTATTTGGAAAGACTGCAATCATTCACATATATCTTTTATGTGTTAATCACTCATGATGATCTTTATGTGTATTGGACAATTGGAAGTTAGAATTGTGTAGCGTGCAATGTGGATTGAGTTGGCAGGGCTTTATGCTTTAGATTAAATTGTTCCTTGTGGTGGGTTTTGGGATGATACATATGCGCTCCATTTTATGATCATTTTATTTTATATTCCTTTGATGATGATATTTATAGTTTTCTCTAAGGGATCGTTTACCAAATACTTATAAATAAGTGTTTACCAAGTCAATTACCTTACCGCTTGAGCATACATAACAAGAATCAAGAATTTTTAGCGGTAAGAGAGAAGATAAGGATTGGGAGTCTTACCTGTAAATGAGGGTGGTGACTTTTATCTGGTAAGTGTGTTCCATGTAATTAATGCTTACCAATCCATTTTGATTGCCGGAAATGTTACCTGATAAGGTAACCGAGGGCGGTGACTATTGTCGATAAGCGTTTACTCGATAAGCATTTACATGGTAAGTGTTTGATATATATGTGAATGGTTGTGTGGGAAAAAAAGTTAAGGTAAGAAGCGTAAGAAGAAATATGGACCATTGATCACCTTTAAATTCAAACCCACCCATGAAAATCGCGCTTGATTTGGGGATTGATCTGGTGCATCTCATTCTTGTGTGTATTCAAGCGTGAAGATCCCTTTTTACGCTTTTCTCTTTTTCTCATCGAAACCCAACGCTTGATATACAACCCCAAGTTTTTATGTTGTGTGCTAACAACTATATTGAAATGTTGTTGTGACCATAGGATAACAAATTCCAGAAGGCAAGAATATATAAATTCAAGCATAATCATATTGGTAACAATGACAAGAAAGTCCAGGAAATGTTGTTGTGACCATACTTTTCTCTTTTTTGCATCCATGGCCATTATTTCCCTTGTTCATTTGGGAATGCAATACTATTTATACATACAACCAGTAAATTATATATAAATATTTTGATTGATGTATGTTATTTTGCAAAGTGATTTATATTTGCAAGGTAATTTATTAATATAGAATATTTATCAATTGGTCATCGTTCATTCAATGAAGGGAGTGAAGATCTTGTTTGAATTTGAATTTGGATTCTTGGAATTTGATGAAAACAGGTGGGAAGAATGGTTGGTCAGTTTGCAAAGCCCAGATCAAACTCTTTTGAGGAGAAAGATGGTGTGAAGCTACCAAGTTACAGAGGAGATAATGTAAATGGTGATGCATTTGATTTGAAATCAAGAACACTAGACCCTCAAAGATTGATCAGAGCATACTGCCAATCAGCGGCCACTCTTAATCTCTTGAGGGATTTCGCCACCGGAGGTTATGCTGCTATGCAGAGAGTTACTCAATGGAATCTTGATTTCACCGAGCAGAGCGAACAGGGTGATAGGTATGCTACTCTATTAAGTGATTCATTTATTCACACATGAATCATTTATTTATATATGAACCTTGATTCTTGGTTATTAGTATGATTTAGATGTATTTATGATGAGACTTTTGCTATGGGATCTYAGGTATCTTGAGCTAGCTAGCCGAGTTGATGAGGCACTTGGGTTCATGTCGGCTGTCGGACTTACAGTGGACCACCCTATCATGACCACCACTGATTTCTGGACATCCCATGAGTGCTTACACTTGCCATATGAGCAATCTCTCACTAGGTTGGATTCAACTTCTAGCTTATACTATGATTGTTCGGCTCATTTCCTCTGGGCCGGTGAGCGAACTCGCCAGCTTGATGGTGCACATGTTGAGTTCCTTAGAGGAATAGCAAACCCACTTGGAATTAAGGTATATTTGTGGTCATTGATTTCTTTTTCTTGCACCCTTTTAGTCAAAAAAAACATGAACACGAATCTGAAATTACTATTTTGTCCCTGTAGGTGGGTGACAAGATGGATCCGAATGAGTTGGTGAAGCTTATCGACATCTTAAACCCTCAAAACAAGTCGGGGAGGATTACAATCATAACAAGAATTTAGAACATTTATCAAACAATCCTTTTTATTCTACACTAAATTATATAAAGTCTCTTAATTATTCTCCACCATATCATTATGTATTTACCAAACCCCTTAGATTAGTTGATCTAATTCAGTTATTTATTGTATACGATTTTTTTATAATCGACATAATCCAACTAGATTTACACAGTCGATCAGTAACAATGAACGATTAAATTGGTTTGGTTTTATCCAATATTTTGATCAATCACYGAATAATTTCAACCATTTTTATACACCAAGATGCAAAATACAAATATTACATAAAATAAGTTCTTTTTGTACTTTAATAGTAATTAGATTAGATTGGATCTGCTAATATATTATTTTATTTTAACAATTTTTTGTCCATCGGCTACAATTAGAACCATAACTCTTATTTATTGAAAATGTATTAATATGTAATGCTTAAGGGGTCATTTACTAAACATTTACCTGATAAGCATTTACCATATTATTTACCTTACCGAATAAACATTATAAGGACCGATAATCTTACCCGGTAAAAGTGATAAAGATGGAGAGTCTTATCTGATAAGAATGTTGAGAAAGATGAAAAGTCTCTTACCCAGTAAAAGTGACGATAATGATCTTACTTGGTAAGTGAGAGTGACGACTCGGTAAAGAAGGAGAGTTAAGAGCTTATCTGGTAAATTGTTACATATGATATCATTTTGATGGACTACAATCTTATCCAGTAAAGTAAGGAATATTTTTAAATCTCAGTGGTAAGTATTTAGGTAAACGACCTCCTAAGTGTAAATATATCATCCTTAAAATCTCCTCAAACAAAACCACCAAAGCTTCAAAATCGTTTACATTTCACAGCTCCCGCCGCATTGCGCGGGTACACTACTAGTAACATATAAACTATAAAGGGCAAAATGCACAAAATAGCAATCTACTTTCATAAATTTCTTTATTATAGCATTGTACTTTCAGTTTTTCTTATTACAGCAATATACTTTCAAACTATTTTTTATTAAGACACTGTACTTTGAAAAATTTACTCATTATAGCATTGGGTAACCTTTTGATTTAAATTTACCTATTATACTAGGTTTCCATGCCACCTCATTGTCCATGTAGGCTGTCCACATGTACTATAGTGATGTGACTTTCTTATTACATCATTGTACTTTCAAAATTATTTATCATAACATCTACTAGTTCTTATTAAACACTGTATTTTTAATTTTAATTTTTAGATATTTTACATGTTATTTAATAAATG